TTTTTGTCGACTTCATAATATATGAAATATACATGAAGAATTAAAGTATTTGGCCCCTCAAGTAAGCTACAAATGGATCGAATGGGATTTTCAGAAGCTTATTGAATAATGAAGTATACATATTTTAGATTTACAATACTAACAGATGTATAAAAAAATGTGAACCACTTACGAGTTAGAGAATCAAAAAAGCACTAATATTCGAACTCTGATTGAAATATATTTAAAAATTAAAAATAAATTAACGGTTTACGAATAACTGGGTTTAAGTTAACACTTTTCAGTACATAACGTTTAGCAGTGAACTGAACGACATCTATAAACTTGTCATCCTAATACTGATAGTGCTATTGTGTTCACTACTGATTCACTTCAAGAATTCTTTTCGAGATTATAGTGAAAAGTAGATGGTCATAGTTGTGCAGGTGCATTTAATCTTTGTCGTATTCTAAAACTTAATTTTCAATACTACTTCGTACAAACTTTTAAACTATGTCTTACTAAACAACACTACCAACGTTTACCCTTTCAAATATCACTGCTACTATATCATTTTAATTAGTCTGCTATTCATTCTGTTAATTTCATCTCATCGTGCTAAAATAATACGACAACTTGAACCAATGCACATTTGTGATAAGCTGTACGTTCTTTATGACCGACTGATTGGTAGAGGTTGTCTTATATCACGAATAAACTGAAGTAGAATATTTGAACTACTAAATACCAACACAGTGATCTAAAATTCATATTATAACCACGAGGTCAGAGTGTTTTGGGCTTAGGAGCGTGCATGAGCACTGGCTAAAAAGTTCCGTAATAGGACAAAACGATGTTCCAGTGTTTGCTGGTTTATAATGATTATCCGGACAAATTCAGTCTTTGATGTGGACCTTTTTAAAATGCATTGTTTATTTGAATCTTCCCGTTGATATTCAGGACTGTAATTGAAAAATGCAGTGGTTTTTCACTAGTTAACAAGTATAATAACCGTACGGTTCAAAATGTTTCATATAATGTATAATATCATCACACCAAGTGAGAAATGAAATGGAAAGTGAACTAGCCTTGTAAAGAAACTGATTGGTCATATAGTTATCGACTTGAGAGATAACATTGCAATTAATAAAACAGGTTTGTAATTATTTCATTATCAGAAGCACTGAAACATCTTACTCATTTAAATATCCTTAACTCTACAAAGTTATTAATTGATAGGTAGATGTTAAATAAAATTCTTCTTTCATTCCAAATCATTTAATTATTCGATATGATTTATTATTACTCAGTAATAAATTAAATGTTGCAGCATGCGCTTTTGAGTCCCACTTTCAGTCTCAAGATTATTCATACCGCTACACTGCCTAAATAACTCAATATTTATAAGCCAACAGTTTTAACCATATTATTATATATCAACCCTCTTTTATATAACATCCAACTCATCATTGGCATTCATATATATAGTGGTTCTGTTCATAAACTGACTAGGAAAATGTAAGTGAGCAATAAGTAGTACAAATGCTATTGAACTCCTAACTGTTCAGTTATCGATTACAATCGTACTTGTGTTATTAAAAATGGTCAGCGCTTTTTCAGATACCTTGAGCATGATATATGTACATCCATTCATTGTCTCGTACATAAATGTGGATACCAATGATGAGTTGAATGTTATATATATATATATATATATATATATATATATATATATATATATATATATATATATATATATATATATAAATACGTAGTAAAAAGCTTTCATTACAAAATGTACAGAATATGATTTACAACAAGTTATTGATATTTTGACAACTGAAATATAATATCTATGTACACGTTGTTTTGTAAAACAATTCAGAAAAATCGGAAGTATATTAATTGGAAAAAAAACTTAAATTATATAAGAGAATGATAATTTATTCATGTTTTTTTATTGTTTACATTTTATTTGACTCAGTATTTGAATACCTGGTATGAAATTTTATCGGCTAGAGTAACTTCAAGTTGAATTTAGATAATAATACAATATTCGATTATTGTAAATATTGTACATTCAAGAAGTTAGTGATTACGTATCTAATAGAACACATCTTATTTATATATTGATAACTAATACAATTATTTTAATTTAACATTCGTAACTCAGTCATAATATCACTATAAGTTTACTACATACAAAGATAAAGACTACTCTGATATTTATTTTAATTTTATCCGTTTTTTTAGTTGAATTTATTAGTCATCAAACAGCTGATTCTAAAATATGAGAGTTTAATAAACAAAAAGCTGTTGTAAGTAACCAAGTTAACTGATGTTCAGTCAATTGCTTTTCTTACTGTTATAATCGTGTAACTGCTGTATTTTTAAAAAGAAAATATTAACATGTTGCTTATGTGTAAGACACTTAACTAAAATATCATATTATTTGTGTACACAACATACTTTTTTGAAATCGATTCGCTAATACACAGAGGGATAATAGCTACTAAACCAAAAACGCTTTCACATCATGTGAACTTACAAAAAAGTTGCAAAGAGCTTATCTCAGCATCAGGGTAAAACACGCGATGTTATGAGATATATGTTTAAGTATTCAGTAAAAACATGTGAAACTGTAATTCACTGGTTTATGTATTTGACTACTGATCAGTAGAGCACAGGTCTGAACTTCCCCTCTTACCTATTTGGGCTAAAGCAGCAAAATGTTGTCGCCTACTCACACAACAGATGTAGTTCATGGTTTGATCTAGATGTGAATCACTCACAGATACGTTAACAAGTCTATGCCAAATAATCTAGAGAGATCACGAAACAAACTAGGAATAAGGGCAACTTCATAAATAAATCCACGCCTCCAGTTACACCTAATGTTTAAAAAAATAAACGATATAACTCAGTGAAAAGGCGAAACCTGAAACGCGTCCACTGATCAAGAACTAACTTTCGAAAAATCATAAATGATTCGCTACTTTCTACAAATGGATTTTGAAATAATAATAATAATAATAAACCCAAACAGGTTTATTGTGATCAGTGACTGATTAGGTTAGCGGTTGTGGGTTCGATTCTAACAAAGTATATTAGAGTATCTGATCAGGAAATCACAGAAACAGATTATATGGTGCCTTATGATTTCCTATGGTTGCTTAACAAAATTAGTTGATGATTTATTTCTTGTTTGTAATTATCTAAAGCATGCTACAGGCCTACTTTAATCCTCCCGAAAAACAACACCAGGAAATAGGAATTTACTATGAACCATAAGGATGAAGGAAAAATCCATTTCTTAGATCTTGAAATTTAACGAAATTCAAGTGAGAATGATCCATATAGCCTCACCTACCGGAAAAGCATGTGGAGTGAAGTTTATATTAAGCATAACAGCTTTAGTTTAACAAGTCACAAAGGAGAGAAAGTGCGGACCCTTTTTGACTGTATTCATAGACCTTGAGCCAACGAAAGACTAGAAGAAGAGTTCACAGTCATTAACAACAACTGACGTTAAAACTCACTCACAGAAATCCGTCGAGAAGCACGCTAGAACTGACGAAAGTGCTAATTATGACACAACAGAAAACAGAACTTGTTCTGTACATCGCCCGAAAGAAGAGGAAATTATCTAAATAACTGATGCTACAATGAGGATTACTTATACACCAGCAAGGCTAACAACCTCATGTGAAACTAACTCCTCCCTAAAACATGTGTAAACCAACAAGTTCTCTTTTCTCAGTTCTTCCAATTGTATTTTTCAGTTAACATATACGTCTTAAACTACATACGTTGGAAGAACAGAGCAAAGAACACATGTTCGCATTTCTAGGCACGTTCCAGATAATTAGATGGTGGTTGGAGGTAGTCGATAGGAAACCCTGGACCCGGGTTTCGTGCTACTTGGCACTCGTCAGCAAGGTGTACCTGTAAACTTTGAGAGAACTGGTGCTCCCTGGCAGATTCGATTCCGTGTCACAGTCAGCGACGTCACCACTGAGCTATCCGAGCCGCGACCGATCTCCTGTAGGACTGAGATGTAATCACAATTGATTGATCACTAGGTGACCAATGTCTAGACACGCATGAAGCCCGGGTCCAGGATTTCCTGTAGACTACCTCCAACCACCATCTAATCATACAATAGTGCCCGCAGCGTCGAGTCACCTAGACTGGTGGCCACATTGCAACATGATCGATAGCATTCAATCTGCACTAATAATAGGGACTAGACACGCATGACATTGGTCACCCAGTGATCAATCAATTGTGACGTTCCAGATAGTTTGAGATTGAAAGATGCAACAACTAGGTACTCAATCGACAACAGGCATATAATCGACGTCTCTCAATCCTTTAAAATGATCCAGTTTCTTTACGTTTCGCCTAAATAGTAACAATTAAAAATCTCAAACTGTATTTATCTGTCTAGAAAAAGATAGTTATTAATTTATACTTCCCTCGGTAAATTCATATTTTTGATTAAAACTACCATTAATCATTATCATTATTGTTTTTATTTTGATATCTAATCTTCAGTAAGCTAAGTACTACTTCATTTATGCTAAATTTATCTTTTCATTTATATCTGCGTCTTTCACCAACCTGATTCTCAAAATTTATGTCGACTCTTAAAATCTTCCATAGTTACTACACAATTTATTTTTTTATTTTCCAGATTCCACATTTTACCTCATCTCTATTTTTTTAGTTCCATGTTAAAATGACCTCACACATGTTTATTCATATATATAACTGACGATGATTGTTCTAATTCTTTCTGTCACCAGTATCTATAATTTCATACCATATTATGTCTCAATGCTACATTTCAATACTAATACAGGTGTAGGCAGCTGAGACGAAACCACGAAATAAAACAAATTCATGTTATTCTGCCTTAATTGTTGTTATAGCTTTATTAAAATTGTTTTCTGTAAATTAAACGGAAGTTTGTGAAACCAATTAATTATTTCGAGAAAAAAAGGACACTATTTACTTACTTTTCATCCGTTACATGAGTCTGATAAGGTGACAGTACATGGTTATTTGTTTGAATCGAATTATCCAAAAATGGGTTCCAATTCATTTTTAAATTATTATTATTATCAATAATATTACTGTTATTAATATTAATATGGTGATGTTTATTATTGACACTTGGATCCTGAACGTTAATATAAAAGTAAAAATTTATTAAAATTATAAGTTGTATGTAGTTTACCTATCGGGTCAAGCTTAGTTAGGAAATTACTGAAAACCAGAAAGTACTAGATGCCTAATTCACTTGATATTGTTTTATTTGAGTCTTCCCATTGATGTTTAGGACTGAAATTGTTCAATCTTCTATTGGCAGCTGACGAGTCCCAAATAGGACGAAACGCGCGTCCTGGATTCCACTGCTAGCCACTATCCATCTTTGCTTATAGTACTAAATGCCTGTTTTTTTCTATTATGGGACTCTTTAGAATTCACTGATGACGCTGACTAAGGATCGTAGTCTATCGTAAATTGATTGGCACTGGAATTATAAGACAGTGGATTCTACATCAGTGATCTAGAGGAAACGCGTGAACTGCAGGCTCTCTCGCTTAATAGCTGAAGCTTACTTCTGGTAAGATCGGTATCAGGATGGAGTAGCTGTCCAGTATTGTCTGGTTTTCCATGCTCACCTAGTTAAAATTAGTCCATGATGTAAATTACCTTAAAGTCATACATCTCATTCCAACAAATTACATATAAATAACCAAGTTAAACATCAATTATTCGTCAATAAATACTGATAACTACCATCTTTTATGCTAAGGATTCACTACACTTTCCGGTACAATTTCATGGTTCCCCAGTTCGTAAATAAATCAACGGATGAATTATTTGTGTACGTAAAATCAATCTTTTGTTGTAAATTCACAGCCAATAACATAAAAGCAAAAACTGAACATAATGGTTACATCCTATCCTAGAATTTAGACGCTTATCATTGATAAGCAATTTGAAGAAACAAATATAACTTTTGTGTGATCTTAGATAGATTGGTTCAAATGAAAACCAACACTTGTAGTTGCTAACAACAGAATGAAAATTCTATTCTCTAACACCGATTGGTAAACTGAATGATAATTTTTCATTCATTTAATCAATTGAGGAAGTTTATCTGAAATTATGCTTTGTTCATGAAGCTAAAATGTCTACAAATTGTAAGAAAAAGTCGTGCATTTTCTACATTTCAGTAACTTTTTAGATTATGAGGTACCGTAGAGCTACTACGCGCATTCCAATTTATTATCCACCAGCCATTTTAACCAGTCCGTTCAAAGCAGAGAACATTTTACTTAAGATGACTTAAAGATTATGTTTATAGCATTTTGAACCAACTAAGTCAAAATAAGTACTGTCAGCAATAAGGAAAGTTTAGATATTTGATAAAAGAAAAGAACTCAATAAAGTAGTACTTCAGAACATTAGATTGAAACACAACGGTTGTGTGGAGCTCTTTGATTTTCATTTATTTTAGAACAGAAATTGACATCATGAACAAAAGAGAGAATACAAAAAATAGCCAAATTAACAGTAAATTTCACATTCTCATCATCACTTTTTTTCGTGTGGCAGCTTATGAGCAAGTTAGTAAGAAATAAATTAGAATCACTTTGGTTACAGTCAAATATAAAATGGTTAATTTCGAAAAATATGAATGAAAATTTTCAGATAATAAATTCCCATCATAAACTTTTGTTAACCAAGAACAACAAACACTTCAGGATGAAGTGAATTCATTTCATTTAGAGAGCTACAAATTTTCTGCATACGAACTGATTTGCATAAATAAATTTATTTACCCACCAATGTTTGTTGCTCTTGCTTTACAAAATAAGAATTTCTTACCATTTTCACTTCTTTTGACATGACCGTCTTCTCATTTACATCCGTATTTTCAGAACCTAATTTATTTAGTGACTGTTTTTCAGTTGATAATTTAGTTGGACACGTTTGTGAAATAACCTTAGGTACAATGGTTAATTCACAAGAATCTTCTTCATCATCTGAATGTGGACTGTTCCGTTCATCCACTAGTACTGCCGTCGATGACAACAATGAAGATGGTGGCAGTGGTGGAGATAATGATGGTGATTCATTCATTGTAACTCTAAGTGTAGTATGTTCACTCAGTTCTGACTGAACACAAAAATTCGGTGGATTCTATGGACAAACATAAAAACAAATATATATGTACACGAATTAAAAAAGTATCAAGCAAAAATACTGAACGGTTGTAATATATGAATAAGAATAAAGTAAACCAACAGGGTTGATATAAAATATTGGTTGAAGTAGATAAGAGCAACAGAAGGAAAGAGAGTAAGCTATTATTTATATGATAACTTTCAGTAGTTATGAGATATATGTGTAGCCATATGCAGAATCCTAAAACTCTTGATTGAATTTTAGAAAATAAAAATCGATGGTTATAATTTTTTACAAAACTGAGTGAAACAGGGTCAAATACATTTTAATCCTCATCTTGCCACAAATCTTCACCTTTTCATCATATAATTTGGTATTATATTCACTTTGATGCTTTGCCACACTTTGGGCGTGAATTATAAAAGGCGTTTCTATTATTAATGTTTTCAAGTATAGCTGAATAGATGGTACTCCTTACATCTCACAACGACTTCAACCACCCATAGCTAGTTTATGTGGAAAAAATGAAGTCCCGCTACATAAAATTGGTCATACTTTATTGTCTAAAAGTCACGAGTTTCCTCTTATATGGTAACGAAACCAATAAAACTTACTATAGAATGTTTTTATGAAAATGACTCATTTACGAAGCACTCATTCATAGATTTAAATTATTAAACCACAAACTATAATAAATCACTAAATACAACAGGCAGATAAGAAAACTATATGGTATATAGATAGTCTGTTGTTAGTAGAAAGTCTGAAAAGACTGAAAAACCAAAACTAATCTTTTAATCACAGCATCATGAAATATTTACCTAAAGATTGTCTAAAACCTAATTATTCAGATATATAATTTTACATTTCATTAGCCTCTTTTCCGCATCTTTGCCTACTTTCAGATCATACTAGTTAACAAAATTTTCCTTATTCTACATGCTTAGGCTTTTTTCCACTTCATTTACGTGGAAGAACGGAAAAACTCTAATATCTGTATATAACGAGAACAGTCAATCTCACATACACACTTAGTAACAAATCTGCCTTTCACAAACAGGTTCAAATAACGAACTGTCCGAAATAGTTTAATGAAATAGATGTCACTTAAAGATTGAACCGAAACGACCAATAAGTTTGAACTCCGACCTAAGATGAATCCTGAATGCATTTCACTAAACCTATCCGTTCGCAAATTTTGCCATTTTCATTGAACCGTAAGCTTTATTTGTGTGTTGAATAGTCAGTATCCATTTCGTGGCTTTGTTACATCCCTGACAGTTAAGTATCCAATCAAAACCACTTCTTTAGGTCTTTTGCTTATCACTGTCCAAAAACATAAGTTGGAAGATTCACCAAAGCTCGGTACTAGTTCATTAAGTCTGGGGCGTGTAAGAAGATATAGACATTCTTATTTTTGTGATTTTAATCTATATAAGGAGATCTAAAATGAAATCGCCGACAGAAATTCCGCTGGAGAATATGTATCGATCTTTTTTCTCCCTCTGAATCTTGATTTTCAACATCAAACAATACCTTGAGTTCTTCAATTTCATCCAATCTTTTCGAAATTTACTCCCCATTTTCGGTTTTTCGCCTAATCTGAAACTAATTTCACTTTTTTTATCTTTTGTCTAGTTCATTTCCTCTCTAGCCATCCAGAAATGAATCGTGTACACTCAAACCAATACATATTCGTGCCAAATCGTACGTTATCTATCAGCGATCGATGAACTCTCGTCAACTGAGCTTTGAAAGGCATAAAAAGGCTTATATAGGTGGTAGACTAACATAAATGTACGTCAGGTGTAACAGTTTACCGTCTAAAACGACAAATAAAGTAAGTTATAGAGTGTATAAAAGTAAAATCCTCCATAGAATCCATAAAAAAGGCGTCAGAACCCACGTGCCGCATATTTTAGTCAGTTCAGACTGGTAGGACAATTTCATTAAATCATTTGAACTGAATGTCATATTAGGTTTTCAAAGCGAGATTCCCGATACTACATAGCAAGCATAGCATATAATAATCAGTTCAATTAAATTAGAAAATTATCAGAATAAGCCACCGAAAACAAATGCCCTAAAAATACTACACGTGGTTGGTTACCCGTGTCCCTAAAGCATTTTTCATACATAGTTGAACCACTGAATGCAGCCATCTAGCCTGGAGCTTTACAATGTAGAAAGTAGCGGGTGTTGATGAAAATAAGTATCATCAAAGGTTGAAAAATGGTTGAGATGCAAACAGAGAGCACCTTATTCCTCGATATCTATATATTTTGGATCGTACCTTCTATCAGACCTTTTCCTCGCCATTCTTGGATTACCTTTACTATAGAGTACTAAAGTATTAAAAGCTGATACGGTGTACTGTCGTATTGGATTTCACGTTTTATTGATGTTAGTCCCATTATAAAACTGAATGAATAATATCACCAACTCCAAAAGAGACCAACGTTTATACTTTATTGTTAAGAATGAAATCTTTTTACGTAACCATACATTACACAAACCAGTCGAACAAAAATAAGTCATGGTTGAACCCATTACTAGTAAAATGATCAACTAACATCTCCATTTCGTACTTGTGAAAAAAATTGTGAAGGTTTAGTTAATTGAAAATAAGAAACAAAGTAAATTCAAAAAAACTTCAGTAATAACACTCAAAAAATTGCAAAAACACCCACCAATATTGAACGAGCTAGTGAAGTCTAAAACTAAAAACTTTTATGCTATCGGTCACTTAAGATGTTGGTTAATACTACCATTACTATAAATAACAAAGGGGTAAGTATTTTGGCAAATTAAGATGCCAAGTAGTACAGACAAATGCCTAAGTAATGAAATACGTTTTGACAAATAAATATCATTCACAAACCTGGGATATTGAAGGTATGTGAACAAATGAACGAAAGTATTGCATGTGGGATACATTTTCAAAAAATTTCTTGACAGAAATATGGAGATCTCTGAAGCGCTCTCTGTGACCGGACATTGTTCCATTGCCTAATAACTCATGTAACTTAAAGATGACTTGTACGATTAGCTCATAGAGTGCTGCAGCATCTTGAATACATTGAATGAGCGGAATAAGTTTACATTGACCAGAGGGAGTGAATGAAGCGGCTTGAATACCCTCCAAAGAAAGGAGCACAACATCCTTGAAGCGTAACGTTTCTTCTAGCATATCCATAAGATCGACACTAAATTGAAATCTTAAGAAAAGGAACAAGGTAACTGTTTACTCATGAAACCTTGAATCCTGATGAAAGAAACGAAACAAACCGTAAGATGTTTATCTACATACTTATATATCAGTAAAAGTGGGACTTTAAACGGTCATCAATTCATCTAGAACCAAACTGATAAAACAATCGGATCGTCTGATATGGTGTAAGTCCTTACTACTGAGTACTGGCCAGAAAGTTTTATTAGACAACTGAAATTTTTAAGGTATATCACCGTATCAATATCGGATTCAGTAAAATCAGTTAAATTATCTGTCTTTTTTAATCTTTAACTACCACTAGACTTCCAAAAGACTAAGTTGTTTGAAAATCAAGTTAAAGATTACACAAGTGAGTTTGAATGACAGAACAAACTACAAATTTGATATTAAATACTTTTTATCTTATAGTTTGAAGCTGTTAGATAAATTTTTGTATGTTAAAACCGACAGGCTAGAAATCTGCACTACAAACACGGACAAAGTTATTTTAGACTCTTGACAGTCCTAAATATAGATACAAGCATATTGAAAGTTTCTAAGATTTTCTGCTGAACGTCAGAACGGTTTAGAAACTAGGCTTAAAGACAAACTGAATATCAGTTTTTGAGTAATCAATACAATTCTTATTCTTCTCAGTCCTTTTTCTACAGGAAAGACTAAATACTCACATATATCCAAAGCATTTATCTTTACACAATTTTAAAGCCCAAAACTATTACTTAACATTTAACACTACGTTGAGATGTTATATGGTCGGGTGCATATTCTTACCTGAATAAATTCTGTAGTTACTGGCTTAACCTGTAAAAACGAATCAGTCAGTCAGTTACGTAGAGAATAAAACCTGGCACATGTGCATCTGCCCAATTTTCCATCTCACATTACTGCAGTAAGACAAAATTATCAAGACAAATCCCAGAAAAGTAAGAGTGGTAACAGTATGAGTAGTAATGGAAAAGATTAGGTTGTTAGAATATCTGGCACATTTTCAACAATCAGGTACCACGAAAAGACATTTGGAAAGTTATGGCTCTCCCGTATGAGGTTGCTGTAAAGGCAAGCTTCCAGGCAAAAAGTGGTCATATAACACGAAACTTGGTTTTTTGACCAAATTACATTCCTAGTTAGGTCATCATAATGACTTGTTTTATGATTATAATCATAAAACATAAGTTCGTCAGCTAGTTAATTATGAACTATTTTCTGCTATGATGGTAATTTATTAGTGGTAAAAATAGGTTTAATACTAGAATAACTTACAGGTGGTCTACTTGTGCAGAAAGACAACTTTTCAGCTCACTAGGAGTTAGCTCCAGACTTCCAGGTAATACTCCATACTAAAATATCTTAATCTAATAAAGTTACGTGATTACTTTTCTGTGTAGGCTGATTTTTCGGGTTATCAGTTGACAAAAGTCTACGATCGGGTATCCACACTTTGTCGCGTGATTACTCTAAACTATGCTAGACTTATTAGCTAAAATTTACCCAGGCAGACTGCAACTGGGAAACTCTGGTTGCGTGACGCAGTCCATCACTTACACACTAAAATATGGTATAAATACATTAATCGGTTATATTGTTATACAATACCTCACGGTGCCCATCTCGGAACAATTTATGGATAACATATAGAAACTTCCAGCAGACTACAGGATTGGTGTATATGGCGAGTTTAAGCGCAGTCTCATAAAAAAATGACGATGACTTTCCACTAAACGTAGCTAAAATAATTCCACGAATATGTTTTGGCTTCGGTGGGACTTCGTGGTCTGTGATTCCCTTCAAAATATGCACAATCTAACGATTTTAAAAAAGGAGATGATTGAATACTTGTTGTTTATTTGCGTTGTCTTTCCCGACGGCGATGTTTTTTAAAGAATCAAGGTGAGGCAGCGGCATTCTTCACAGTTTGTATACAAAAACGACCTTCAAATCTGAAACACGCTCTTCCAGGCCCATTAGCAACGCCAAACTAATAGGTTCAAATGGTTGTGCACGAAACATTAGTTTCTGCCTCGCTTAGATTGTTTTCAGTAAAAATTTTTCTTTCATCCATCCTTATTTTGGCAGAATAATCTAGACGCGCTGATCTGGAAATTTTGCTGTAATACTTTTAATACTAATTATGTGACCAAATATGTGATTGAGGTGTGTACCCAGTAGAAGAGAGAATGGAAATTAATCGTAGATCTGAATACAGTGCATGTATATAAATATTTGGAGTAAATCCAGTTTAATATGTCATGTTATTGCACCGATGCATTAAGTAAATCTCGAAAAATGGTGTTTTTGTTTGTCGATTGTCAGCACATTTATCTCTCTGATATGTCTGTCGCGATTTTGCATAAACTGATTGATTTCTTTTAGCCAACCCTTGTCGTTCTAGTACAGTTCCAAGTATTCGGTAGCGTCCAGCTTGTGATATCCTAGCCACTCGACTGCAGTAATTCTGATGAGTTTGGTAGTTGTTTGTAGATTTGTATATTTTACAATTCGAACTAACGAGTGGGGTTCTGGATATCAGCAGCCATTGTATTACCAGGTAGGAGGATAGTTGATCTCGATGGGCAGAATAATAAAGTGATTATTCGAATGCTAAGAGATGATTGCTTCAAGAAATAAATAAGTCAATTAATTATTATTTCAGACAGTGTGAAAAGACCAAATCGAAAGAACAAATGGAAACACGAAGATGGCAGTAAGTGAGATAGAAAGCGGTTACTGATGACAACTGTGGTAAGACATACATCAGGCACAGCTAGTCCAAGTAGGAGATGGTAATCCATGGGCGAGTACGTGTTTGTCAGGTCTTTGCATCCAAAGACATATAACAGCTTGTTGGAATAATAAAATACTCTGTTGAATTCTGATACAATTACTTCACAGGAAATTTTTATTTGACGATTATACATTACTTCGATCTTATTGGTATAGATTGGATAGACAAACTAAATTTATGGGGCGATGAAATGCTCAAATAGTTCTTCAGATCTGCTTTTCGTTCATGTGGCTAAGAAAACCTTTTACGGAAACACACAAACGTGTTCCAGAACAAGTTAGGATGCTGGACAATCGGGTAGGCAAAATTATACTGATGACATGATGTAAAACCTGTTCTTCAAACAAGACGTCTTGTCCTATATGCGGGTGTTGACAAAGTTGACAAAGAATTAGACCGACTCAGTGTCATACAACGTAATAATTATCCAGCATGGGCAGCACCAATTGTAGTAGTTCAGAAAGCGAACGGAGCTATTCGTCTTTGTGCAGATTTTTCAACAGGATGAAATGATGTTTCACAAAATAATTCATATCCACTACCTATGCCATAGGATTTATTTGTTAATTTATACAGTGGGTGTTGTTTTGCTAAACTTCATTTGTTTGAAACCTACTTACAAGTGGAAGCTGACAGAGATTCTATCAGAGACTCTATCAATCTAACCGATTACCGTCTGATGTAATGCCAGCTCCAGCAAATTTTCAGCAGATAATGGATACAATGATGTCTAACCTTGAAGATGTAGCAGTTTATTTGGATGATATTACAGTTGTTGGTACTTCTTCTCAGGAACTAATTGGCCTGTGAGACTCTGTGCCTACTAAAACATTGCAAGCTGATTTTCAGTTGCAAAAAGAGAAATGTGAATTCTTGATCGAGTCTCTCATATACATTGGATATATGTTTGATAAGGATGGTTGTCGGTCAGATTCAGGTAATATGATTGCTATCGAAAACATGTCCAAAGCGATTGATGTTACAATCCTTCGTTCATTTTTGGGATGATTGGATATTATAAAATGTTCTTACCCTACATGCATAGATTGTGGCACCCATTAAACCTAAATTTGATGGCTTATGCAACACGGCTCTGAACAAACGAATGTCATGATCCTTACGACGAAATAAAAAGAATTTTATGTTCTAAACTGTTGCTGACCCATTACAATCCAAAGTTTAAAATAATTATGGCCGCTGATGCTTCCAACTATAGAAGTGGCAAAATATTTATTCTCAGATCGAAGAATATGTTGCTAGATTTTCCACACATGCAAAAGCCATCAAAGCCCCTCGAGATATGAATACTTAAAGCTGGGAAGGAACGACGAAACCATGGTCTAGAGCACACGTGGACTTTGTCTGTTTCATAAATTAGAAACAGTACTTTTTAATTGTTGTTGCCTTTTCCGAATGGCCAAAAGTTTACTACACGAAGTCTGCATTGACGAAAGCTACTGTAGAAAAACAGGCAGGCATTCAGATGTTTTTGAATGTCTAGATGTATTGGTATCGAATTATGGACTTTAATTTACATCTGCAAAATTTCCAAAGTTTTTCATCTTTAATTCCGATAAGTATATCAAGACCGCCCACCATCATGGTCAATAACTCTAGAAAAAGAGAAATTTCACCAACTTATAAGCCAAATAAAAGGTCCAAATCTGTAACCCCTATGACTAACGACTCAGTACCTGACAATGTCGAACCTTTAACAAATGAACAATATGCGTATTCTACACAAATGTCACTATCATCACCTGATTCTCCATGTTACTGCCCCTCCATATCTGCGTACAGTATGCCAGCGGTAAGACTGGTTGACATACAAGACAATATACCCACGTGCATCGAAAAGTCAACACAGCCTGTCAAACAGCATGTTTCAATAAAGCCTAAATCTAAAATTTCAAAAACTAAAGAACCAAATAATTTATCTCATACACACCAAAATGCTGGTGGATATTGTAATGAGATCAGTCAGCTACGAAACTCTCTATCCGAAATTAACGGTAGACTTAGCCAATTAACATCCCACACACATATATGGGGCCTTGATACTGATAGGACTCTTGAGCATCGCACTAAATCTGAGTGTGTTTTTGAGCTTGTGGCTGAGGAAGTGGCGAAAAGAGTGATGTGCTCCTTCAATGCTGTTAAGTATAACCTCCCCGACCGCATACACCCATCTAAGTTGTGTGATATTTACCTTAGAGCATGCGGTATGCTGAACGTTAACTGCAAGGTCAAACGCCTTAGAAAAAGTCAGACAGATCGACATTCTCTCTCCTGTTTATGTTTGGCTGTTGTAACGATACTGAACAGTTTATTGATTCGAGCAAAAATATTAGCTCACTAATTCCATACAAAAGTATACAAGTCACTCCAGACTTACGCCCTGTCAACGTCGAGTAAGAAGACGTGAAGCGATAGGATTGCATGGTAGTATTATAGTAAATAGCCAGCCAGAGACGGTTTGCAACAATAAGCATGACATCACTCCACGAACGGTCGATTACTCTGTTGATCTAGATGAGTCTGCTGATCAGAAACATTTAGATATGATACGGACCCCAACTGTCACCAAAAAACATAACGACATGTCTAATCCCAGCTGCTCGGTCAGTAATGTACTAAGATGTGAGTCGTCCAACAACACGCATCCAACTAAACCTATACCCTTAATAATTAGTCCTCCTAAATATATTCCACAGGTTGACTCGAATGAACCTAAATTCATCTCACAGATACAACGAAAGACTCCAGCTTTACCAAAAAAGGGTGGGAAGACAAGACTCACGATACCAAGTAGGGAAACACATAAGGTTGAACCCAACTGCTCTATAGGTATCCAAACAACAGTGAACAGGTTCTCTCATCGGATACCATGTAACTTGCCTTCAGCCCTTCTAAGTTGCAAAATGGGTAGTGGGCTACAGCGTAACAAGCCTTTTTACACTCAGACTAACAAAAACTACCACAGTACTGATCACTCCAAGCACCCACTAAAGCTTAAAACTATTAATAAGAATGGTAATAATAGGTTTCTCACTTCACACCCTATCTACATTTTCCGGGATCATAATTGTTATTTCTCTCAGAAAAAACTTTTCACACCCTTTATTATCAACCCACCACACGGAAACGGCTCCCATGTACAATAACAGTCGCAACTCCTTCCAGTTATGCGCAGCAGACCCCTCTCACTCTATTGTAAATAGCTATAACAGAGGCCACGCGCCTAACCATCAAGACTATTTTGCAAATAACCATACACTCCACAGTAGGCCTGTACAAGATTTTTTGGAATACGACCCCCAGTGACTCCTCTCTTGAAACATATAGCCCGTTATTTCAAACCACATGCAAAACATAAATGCATTTCCCCCGTACAGTTTCCATTAGAGAGTACTCCCATCCTTTCCTCCTGGGTAAGCTCCCCAATCAACTTCACTAGCTCATTTGATGCATCTCCCACTAACTCTAGCTATCAAAATACCGAGTTATTGAAGAACATTCAATCCCTCATTTCTAACTCATCTCACACCCGCGAGGGCTACAACGACTTTGTTCGAGATACTCTCATTCATTTTAACTTGGTAGGCCATTTGTTTAATATACGTCTCATCAACGCTAGGTCGATCTGCAATGAAAAGACAGATTCAGCCCTGTTTGTATCCATGCATCAATCATCACTTATAATGATATCTGAAGCATGGACTAACAGTAATATTTCCGACCTGAGTATATCTCTTGATAACTATTTCCTATATAAAAGTGATAGATTGAAAGGACGAGTAGGAGGATGCCTGATTTATGCTCACTCTAGCCTAAACTCACTACTATGTGATATGCCTGAACTAAACAAACCGAATGATTCGGTGTGGATTGTATTAAAGTCGTCGAATTCCGTCACCTTACTGTTCAGCTGTGTCTACCGTCAACCTAAAGCATCAATGGATGATATAGCAGTACTATCGGAGGTATTCACACTAGCATAATCTCTTCCATTCACAGGCAAGCTTATTTGTGGTGGCTTCAACATGTCCGAAATCTCTTGGTTCCCAGTCAAGGCGCCGAAACGTTATGAATCATTTATCCGATGTCTAGAGCTTGAACA